GGACGCGTCCGGCCGAATTCGGGGGAGGAGATGGCTGTTCGGATAGTCCCTGCCCTCCAGGGCTGCTGGGCGGGTTCTGCACGTAGAATACCTACTGCCAGGTGTCCTCTTGCGCCCCCTGCTCCCAGAAAGGGAGACTGAGGCACAGATCAGTTAGGCTGCGAGCCTCAGAGCGGGGCACTTAAGCCTGAAAGCCAACTTGCGCCCGAAAGCCAAGTTTGCCTTCGGGGAGCATCATTTCTAGGGCCAGGATGGCCTTCGGGAGCTGAGAGCTTGATCCTCCACCCCTGGTCCCCGAGGCCTCCTGGGCTGAGGCTCAGTGCAGTTGCTTGACCTTCCCTGTCACCCCAGGTCCTGCCACCGCCCCTGGTGCCCGTGGTTCCGGTCAGTCTGGCGGGCAGCACCAACGACACGGGCGGGAGGCTGGAGCCAGCCCCAGAACCCCAGAGAGACCAGACCCTGAGACAGCAGGGGCCGTTGGCTTCTCCCATACCCGCAGGGCACCCTGCTGTTCCCACCAAGCCAGCTGGTAAGACGATGGCAGGGCTGTTGGGGGCGTGGGAGCCAGGGGATTGCCAGTACACTGAGAACGGGGAAGTAGAGGGGTCAGGCTTTTAAAGGCAGATCCTTCTCATGGAGAGAGGGCAGGGGGAAACGATGCTCTTACTTTGATGATAAGACCAAATTTCTTCCACTAAGGTGTCAAAATAGGAGAAACGAGAGAAAGTAGGAGAGGAGTCACTCTTATTTTTATGAGGGGTGGTGGGTTTAGGACTGCTAGCTTGGTGAGAATTTGAGTTGGTCTAGACTACCATGTCAGGACTTCTATTCTGGTGGGGAGACCACAGAACCAGGGTTTAAGAACTCCAGACTTCGCATTTGCTCTGGTGCGAGAGGGTAGACCCAGAGTCTTACTCAGGTAAGGAAATGGCTACTGGGTCTCTTACTCTGGTGAGGAAATGGGAGAGGCAGCACTCTTATTCAGGAGGGAGTGGGAGAGACAGGACTCTTATTCTGGTAAGGCAATGGAGAGGCAGGACTTCTAGTCTGGTGAGGGGACCTGTGAGAATCCAGACTTTTAACTCCAGTAAGGGATTGGCTGGCCTGAGCTATGCTCCCCCACGTCCCCATGGCCACAGGCCCATGGCGAGATTGTGCAGAGGCCCACAGGGCAGGCCACGAGCAGAGTGGAGTGTATGAGCTGCGGCTGGGCCGGCACGTGGTGTCAGCATGGTGCGAGCAACAGCTGGAAGGTGGAGGCTGGACCGTGATCCAGCGGCGGCAAGATGGCTCCGTCAACTTCTTCACCACCTGGCAGCACTACAAGGTGGGTGCAGGGGGGCAGAGGCAGGGCCAGGGAGGGAAGCTGCTCCTGAACCCCTGCTCTTCTTCCCTGCCAGGTGGGCTTTGGGCAGCCAGACGGAGAACACTGGCTGGGCCTTGAACCCGTGTATCAGCTAACCAGCCGGGGGGACCACGAGCTGCTGGTGCTCCTGGAGGACTGGGGGGGCCGTGGGGCACGTGCCCACTACGATGGCTTCTCCCTGGAGCCGGAGAGCGACCACTACCGTCTGCGGCTTGGCCAGTACCATGGTGATGCTGGCGATTCTCTTTCCTGGCACAATGACAAGCCCTTCAGCACCGTGGATAGAGACCGGGACTCCTATTCTGGTAATGAGAGCTTTTATTCTGGTGAGGGAATGAAAGGAGGTGGGGTAGGTAAGACAACCCTCTGGTAAGTATCAGGATAAGCAAGCTTTTATTCTGGCAGGAGAACAAAGGGTAGGGCTTTTGTTCTGGTGAGGGGATAGGGAGCCCAGATTCCTTCTCCGATTAGGACTCCTGGTGAAAGGCAGAGGGTTAGAGCCAGGAATCTTATTCTAGACAGGAAGTAGAGAAGATTGTTTTTCCTTGATAAAGGAGTACGCAGTAGACTCCTAATTTGCAGAAAAGGTGGGAAACACGTGACTTGTATTTTGGTAAGGAAAGAGGGAAGGGATTAAGGCTGTTACTCTGAAGAAATAGAGTGGGGGGACCGGGGGTCCAGGGCTCCTATTTCGGCGAGGAAATGGGAGATCGGGGCTCCCGTTCGACAAAAGCGGAGAGGGCCGCTGGCAGAAGCCTTGCGCTGTGAGGTGCTGTTGGGGCTTTCGTTCTGTGGGGGGGACACGGACTCTCTCTCCCCTCAGGCAACTGTGCCCTCTACCAGCGGGGAGGCTGGTGGTACCACGCCTGCGCCCACTCCAACCTCAACGGTGTGTGGCACCGCGGCGGCCACTACCGGAGCCGCTACCAGGACGGCGTCTACTGGGCCGAGTTTCGCGGCGGGGCCTACTCGCTCAAGAAGGCGGCCATGCTGATCCGGCCGCTGCGGCTGTGACTCGCTCCGCTCCTCCGGCCGGCCCCGGGGGCGGGTCGTCCTGGCCA